TGGAGGATAAATTTTTGAAGAAAAATAGTTAAAATAAATTGTACATGAAGAAGAGACTGTTTCGTTTCACCTATGTTCCTGGTACCACGATGAATGAACATATCACTAGTTTCAATAAATTGGTCACAGATTTGCAAAATATGGATGCAACTTTTGATGATGGTGATTTGGCCTTGATGTTGTTGTGGTCACTTCCTGATAGTACGAGCACCTTGAAACTACTCTACTCCATGGGAATGACGAAATTTCTCTCAGAGAAGTTTGTTCGGCTTTGTACAGCTATGAACAAAGAAAGGGAGAAAAACAGAAGGGCGAAGAAGGAGAAGTACTGGTTGTGAGGGGTCGTCCTCAAAATCAAACGAGGATAAAGAAAGGAAGATCCAAGTCAAGATTTAGACCCAACAAAGATGAATGTGCCTTTTGTCGAGAAAAGGGGCACTGGAAGAAAGATTGTCTGAAGTTGAAGAATAAGGCCAAACATAACAATGGAAAGGCCATTATGGATTCAAATGTAGCTGATTGTGATGATTCAGACTTCTCATTAGTTATATCAGAGTCATCAACATCATCAAGCATATGGTTGATGGACTCGGCTTGTAGCTATCATATGTGTTCCAACAGGGACTGGTTCGTGGATTTTCAAGAATGAGAATATGGAGTCATCCACACAGCGGATAACAGCACTCTTACCTCATATGGCATTAGTTCAATACGATTAAGGAACCATGATGGAATGATCAGAACATTAACAGATGTTCGATATGTATCGAGTTTGAAGAAAAATCTCATCTCTGTGGGAGCCCTAGAATCAAAAGAGTTCAAAATCATTGCACAAAATGGAATGATGAGAGTATGCTCCGATGCACTAGCGGTAATGAAGGCTAATCGGAAGAACAATAACATGTACTGTTATCATGGTAGTACAGTTATTGGGACAACGACAGTAACATCCAGTGGCGAAAAAGAGGCAGAAGCAACCAGGCTATGGCACATGCGCTTGGGACATGCTGGAGGAAAATCCTTGAAAACTCTATCAGGTCAAGGATTATTAAAGGGAATAAAGGTTTGCAACTTGGAGTTTTGTGAGCATTGTGTCAAAGAGAAACAGACAAGGGTTAAATTTGGTAC